GTCCTGATGTGTATAATAATAAATAATACAATAACAAGATTTATTTTTTAGTTTTATAATGTCACCTCCAATGACCGCAAAAGTTTTCGAAAAGGCCTCGAAAAGGCCCGTGGACCACCAGTTGATAATCACATTTGTGGCTTGTTTTGCGGCTCCACATTTTATTAGTGAGACAAGGAGCACAAATGGCTCTTTTGATCATAAAGGTTGCAGACCCCTGTGCTACACCAACCAAACCCCCTCATCTCAGCACAGCTGTCACATCTGTACGGCAGGCCAAACGACATTTATTCATAGTTATGTCGGATTTGTTGTTTTCTTTGCTTGAATAGAAGTTTACAAGACAAACAAAAAGCCCACCTAGGGTCTCAGCGTAGTATCTGGGTGAACGGCGACTCCGACGTTTGAAGAAGTTGGAAGCGTCGGATTCGTGCATGAAGACCTGCCGCGCAGCGTCTAAAGGTCAGAGGTCACAGTCAGGACTTCGAAATAATAAATAAAACGAGCTCAGGACGACTTTAAATGTTACCTTTAGGATCGGCTGGCTCTGAGTCTCGTACTGCTGCACTTTTCACCACATCAGAAACTAAATAAAAAAGAAATTTCATTATTTTAGTTTAGCTTTACACATTTTCTGAACTCATTAATAAAAATATTTCATCATATATTTACCACTTTTATTTCAAAATGTCATGAGATTAAAATGAGTTGAAAATCATAAATYAACATTATTTTCTGTTTTTCATTTTAAATCAAATAAATAGTTCCTYTTTTAGCTAAACCTAAATATATCATGTAGCTTTTACAAACATATCCTGTAAAACAAATAGATGAAAATGGACAAAAAGTAGACCCATGACACTTTTGCAGCAGATATTTGAGCTTACAAAAACATCTCTGTGTTTTAAACCCTCAGGACTACTGTGAAGGTGTACTTACAGGTGAGGATGAGGAGGGCAGAGAGCAGGACCAGGACGAGTCCTCGGGTCCAGGACATTTTGAGGAAGAGGAGCAGACTCTGTGCAGGACTGAACAGAACCACAATCCGACTCGAACTGAGAGAAGAGGAGGATGGAAGGGAGGAAAGTGGCCGAGGCAGAAGAGTGGGAGGAGAGAAGAGGCGGGAAAAAGGCTTCACGAAGGAGAAGAAGACTTCTGGAACTGCAGTTACCTAAAAGTCAATTTGACAACTGATGTTGAAAGTTTTCAAAAATAAAAAAATATTTTATTTAAAGCTGATGAGGCCAAATACTTCTAATACTTACATTAACCTGAGCAGCAGTACCTTCAGGTATGTGACAGTTAAGATATTCTATGGGTTTAAGATCTTATTAACCCCAGTAGTTTGTACAAGTACTTGTAAAAATGCTAGTATTAGTACCGATACTGATACTGGTATTGTATGGAGACACCATTAGATGATGGTAGAAAGAAGCTCCATCATCCAGTCTAAGCTCCTCTGAAAGTTCTGTAGTGATTCAGGGAGGTGACCTCTTGATGATGATCTTCTCCAGCTCTGCAGGAGGTTCTGATGGGTGATACGTTTCAGATCAAACCAAGAGAACAGAGGAGCTGACTGAAGTTCAGAACAGCTGGTGATGCTCCATCAGGACCTGCAGATTAACGATATCTTCAAAGCAGGGCTGAATGGAAGGAGGTGTGGCAGAGGAGGAGTTTAGACTCAAGCCAAAATTAACCAAACTAAACCCAGATAAACTAAACTAAACCCAGATAAACTAAACTAAACCAAACCCAGATAAACCAAACCAAACCCAAATAAACCTAACCAAATCCAGATTAACCAAACTAAACCCAGCTTAACCAAACCAAATCCAAATAAACCAAACCAAACCCAGATTAAACAAAGCAAACCAAACCCAGATAAACTAAACTAAACCCAGATAAAACTAACCAAACAAAACCCAGATAAACTAAACTAAACCCAGATAAACCAAACCAAACTCAAATAAACCTAACCAAACCAAACCCAGATCAACCAAACCAATCCCAGATTAACCAAACAAAACCAAACCCAGATAAACCAAAACCAATCCCAGATTAACTAAACCAAACCCAGATAAACCAAACCAATCCCAGATTAACCAAACAAAACCAAGGTTCACCAAACCAAACCCAGATTAACCAAACCAACCCCAAATTAACCAACCCAACCCCAGATTAACCAAACCAAACCCAGTTAAACGAAACCAAACCCAGATAAACCAAACAACCCCAGATTAACCAACCCAACCCCAGATTAACCAAACCAAACCCAGTTAAACTAAACCAAACCCAGATAAACCAAACAACCCCAGATTAACCAAACCAAACCATTTACTGAACTCAACAGCTCAAAGCTCAGCTGATAGGGGAGGAGTTTGTCAGAAACCTGTTTCGAACTGTAAAACTGGTGAAAACAGTTTCATCAGCTGTTCTGACTCGTCTCAGTTTCCTGTTCAYGGCAGGAAACAAGGTGAAGGTGTTTCCAGGTGTTGGTGGATCTACTGCTCACCTTCAATCTCACAGGTCAGTCAGTCTAGAATGAACTCACTGATTTTGTGATGTAATAATGATTAGAGAAGCAGCTGGACCCGTTCATCACTTCGGCTGTTGTTCAGCTACATATTCCTCCTGCCTCGGCTCGGTTCTGTGATGTTGTRGATTTTTCCGTGCTGTGTGCATCTAATGAAATCTGAAACATGTCTCCTCCTCAGGAAGCTGGCTACAGACGAGCTGCTGCTGCTGCGCCCAGAAAATAATAAAACCCTGAAAACGCTGCAGCAGATCTGAAGTCTGGGAACCATTAATGAGAGACCTGTGAGGGAAACTATGTGCTGACTCTGCAGAAATATGGATCCTCCTGTGTGCTCAGGAATCGTGTGCTACCACTTTATTCTTTTTATTTCAAATCAAAAACACATTTAAAACTCTTTCAAACATTTTTCTACTGAAGTCACCATACAGACACGTCTTTATTTTATTATTAGTGTTAATAAATTATTACATTTTCAAAGAATATTTGCTTCTAAACGTACAAGTTATAAAATATCTAAAATGATTCAACGTATTAACAGTTCTGTAAGCATCGGAGGCCTCAGGTGGTTTTATTTAGCTTTACAGTGACAGATTGTTTCCTCTGCATCTATCCACATTATCGTTTCATAAAATCGATCATTCTAACAGCCCGATTCTTGGATTAACCCTTTTTATTCTCCGTGTCGGCTGAAGGTCTTGATGGAAGTTTCTTYACATCGTCTTCCTCTCTCCCTGAACCAGGCGACCCCTGAAGGCCCAGACGTCCTGTGGAGTTACAAGTTTTACYGTAAGTTCATCCAAAACCATCACTTCCATCTTATTTTAACTCAGTAATTTAATTTGTTTAAATCTGATTTAAAGAAAAATGCTCCGGAGGTTGATGAGCTGACGTAAAGCTGGAGCAAACACTTCAGACTCAACAGGGTCAGTTTTTCCACAGAGAGCTTGGTGCTTTGGCAAAGACTAACAATAAAAGTATTGATCAGGGGTGGATATTAAAACTTTTTCCACCAAAAGTTTTGTTCCGGCCACTCAAACTTTTTACCAACCACTATTTTTTTTTGTTTCTGTAACACGGTGGCATTTAGACAATTCATGGTCCTTGATGGTTTAATTAAATCATTTGTGCTACAATCAGATAATAAAACTCAAAATCTWTTAGTGTCTTACAGTATTCAAGCCAGCCTGTTTGACAAAATTAAAATGGACTTTTTGATGTCGCTACTTCTCTTACTAACTTGCTTTTTGCTGGTATGTAGGTGGAATACTAATTATTTTATGTAGGCTGGAAAAAAACAGCTTTTTAACCTTAATAATATGAGAAATTTTCAAGGTGAAAAGAAAAGATCTGTGGTAAATTTATCTCCTTCATTTAATAAAATCAGTTATTGCCTTTTATCACTTGTAGTTTTTRTTCTACAGGCTGTTAGTATGAACATGTGTCTTTCTTCTGTTCTAAGTCAGATTTCAATGACRGATAGAAAACCTCTGATGATCCATTGTCTGAGTGCATCATTTCTATTTTTACTTTTGAATAAGTTTATGTCACAAGGTTCATTGTGTTACTTAGTTTGCCTGGGTTTTTGTTTTGTTCTGCATCAAAATATCTTAAGGGAACAAAAAAGAACAGATTTTTTATTTATTTATTTTATTTTTGGAGCTGTCAGCTGATCTTCAGACGTTTCCTAGAGGTTAAAAAAAACAGTGTTTCCTTAAGTTTCCTTTGGTCAGTCCAAATGATCGTGGTTATTGAGTTAAATATTTAACAACTAATATGAAGTTTTTTAACTAACATTTACAGCGGGTAAAATAAGTATTGAACACGTCACCATTTTTCTCAGTAAATATATTACTAGAGGTGCTAATGACATGAAATTTTCACCAGATGTTGGTAACAACCCAAGTGATCCATACATACAAAGAAATCAAACCATAAATGTCCAGAAATGAAGTTATTTGTAATAATGTGGAATGGCACAGGGAAAAAGTATTGAACACACTTACTGAAATTTATCTAATACTTTGTACAAAAGTCTTTGTTGTCAATGACAGCTTCAAGAYGCCTCCTGTATGGAGAAACTAGTGGCATGCATTGCTCAGGTGTGATTTTGGCCCATTCTTCCACACAAACAGTCTTCAAATCTTGAAGGTTTCGTGGACCTCTTCTATGAACTCTGATCTTTAGTTCTTTCCATAGATTTTCTGTTGGATTCAGGTCAGGTGATTGGCTGGGCCATTCCAGCAGCTTTAGTTTCTTTCTCTGAAACCAACTGAGAGTTTCCTTGGCTTTGTGTTTGGGCTCATTGTCTTGCTGAAATGTCCAGCCACGTTTCATCTTCATCATCCTGGTAGATGGAAGCAGATTTTTATCAAGAATGTCTCTGTACATTTTTCCACTCATCCTTCCTTCAATTATTTGAAGTTTGCCAGTACAATATGCTGAAAAACAGCCCCACACCATGATGTTCCCACCTCCAAACTTCACTGTTGGTATGGTGTTTTTGGGCTGATGTGCAGTGCCATTTGACCTCCAAACATGATGTGTATTCTGGCATCCAAACAGTTCAATGTTGGTCTCATCTGACCAGACTATATTCTCCCAGTATTACACAGGCTTGTTTAAATGTTGTGCAGCAAACTTTAAAGGAGCTTCAACATGCTGTTTCTTCAGCAGTGGAGTCTTGCGTGGTGAGCGTGCATACAGGCCATGGTGGTTCAGTGCATTACTTATTGTTTTCTTTGAAACAATCGTACCTGCTAATTCCAGGTCTTTCTGAAGCTCTCCACAAGTGGTCCTTGGCTCTTGGACAACTCTTCTGATAATTCTTTTCACTCCTCTGTCAGAAATCTTGTGAGGAGCACCTGGTCGTGGTCGGTTTATGGTGAAATAATGTTCTTTCCACTTCTGAATTATGGCCCCAACAGTGCTCACTGGAACCTTCAGAAGTTTAGACGTTCTTCTGTAACYGATGCCATCATTATGCTTTGCAACAATAAGGTTGTGAAGGTCTTGAGAGAGCTCTTTACTTTTACCCATCATCAGATGGTTCTTGTGTGATACCTGGCCATCATTTGGGACTGAACCAGCTGATATTAACTTGCACTGACAAGGGGCAGGCTTGCTTTCTAATTACTGAGAGAGTTCAGCTGGTGTCTTGGCTTTCCATGCCTTTTTACACCTCCCTTTCTTCATGTGTTCAATACTTTTTCCCTGTGCCATTCCACATTATTACAAATAACTTCATTTCTGGACATTTATGGTTTGATTTCTTTGTATGTATGGATCACTTGGGTTGTTACCAACATCTGGTGAAAATTTCATGTCATTAGCACCTCTAGTAATATATTTACTGAGAAAAATGTTCTGTGCAATACTTATTTTACCCGCTGTATGTAATATTAACGTATCAGCAGTTAGAAATAGTGTTTTTAATCAGCTGATTTGCCTACAGATGAAACTAAACTGACTGCCCTGTCAAACTCACTATTGTCGTTTTTTCTTTCCATTTATTGTTAAAAAACTTCAACTTTCAGTTCTTCCTTTGGTTCCTCTTGAGAACCTGCAGCCTGATTAATCCAGATATGTAACGCTACATTAAAGTTTGATTTTCTCCAAAACTCATCCATTCATTTCAGACCTGTGAGAATTCAAACAGGTTAAATGTGGCTCATTACAGAAACCTTTAATGTTTTCTTTGCTGCATCTAAACATCAACAAGCTAGAAGCTAACCGTGCTGCTGTCCCTCTTATAAACACACATTAAAGAGTTTAGGTGTTTAAATAAAGTCTGTCCTTCCTGTTTTCCTGGTGACAGAAGGGCAGCGGTTGAGTTTTTAATTGAAGATCCTGCACCTCGCGGCCGGCGCTTCCTCTTCTGCTGCCTTCCCTGACATCCCAGCTGTGGTTCTGGACCAGACCGCTCGTTGTGCTGAGCTCCTAAAGCGTGGCTGCGTGGGCGAGCTAAATTTATCCTCCACGAGCCGAACGTCAGTTCACATAAATCAGCCCGGGTGGTTTTTGTCGGGACTGAAATCACGGATCAAATGTAAACAGTAATAAAAAAAAAAAAAAAGAAAAGCAAAGGTCCTGACCTTAAAGATGGCGTCACCCACACCGTGCCTCTTCACGACTATCTCCTCCACCTCTTGGGCGATGTTTTCCTGCGTGGTTCCCCTCACGTCGATGTAGAAGCAGTCGCTGCTGGCGTAGTGGCAGGAGATGGCCTGGAGGACGGGACAAGGACAAGCTCAGAGGTTCTGARGTGGAGCTCTGAGGAAAACTTATGAGCAAATAATATTTTATTTGTTCCAGACCACAGAGAAACTTAAAGGGATCCATGATTAGTTGTAACATTAGACTTTATTTATTTAAACTGTAAAATAAAGACTGTAAAAATACTGTAGCATGTTTAGTTTTGTACATTTTTAAACTAAAAGTTTAAAAATATATTACACRGACGGAGCCATTTTAAAAAATATGAAAATATGGATGGAGGACCTCAGTTTAGCTTGTTTGTCGTGCTAGCACCGAGCTAATACATATAAGGCAATATAGCATCGACGCTAAAGCTAACAGGCTAATCTGAGGTTGTTCTTCCATGAAGCAGCTCTGTTGTCCTCCATCCATATTTTCAGTTCCAGGCTGAGTCATTTCTACCTTCTCCTCTCTGTCAACGCTCTCTGGTTTCATTTAAAAGAGTCGATCATCAGATATTGTCCAASATTAACCTTCAGGGTGGATATAGCTCGCTAGCAGCCTCGCACCGAGGACCTATCCACGTCATCRTTTACCCAGAATGCTTTGTGTGGAAATAAACTGGCTACGTCCACGTTAAAATGTATTTTAAAATATTTACAAAACTAAACAGCCTGCAGTATTTTTACAGTCTTTATTTTACAGTTAAAATAAATAAAGTCTAATGTTACAACTAATCAGGGATCTCTTTAAAAACTGGCATAATAATCCTGCAGGAAGTGCTACAGCTAGCTGCTGCGACAGCAGTGAAAATAAATAAATTCTGTTTTTGCTGATGCTTTAAATGCTTTTCAAACCTTCAGCCAGGTGCATTCTGGGAGTTGTAGTACCTTGCGGAAGCCCTTGGTCTGGTTCATGCCCGAGCCGTGGATGAGCAGTGGGTGGAAGAAGACCGTGTCGCCCCTCTCCATCTCCACGTGCACCCTGGGGTGATCCGGGTCGTAGTTTCTCACTCCGTGGTACATCTTGTTGACCCCGCCCTGAGGACACACGCCGCGCTCAGACAGCGGCTACGCTCGGGGCGTTTTAACGCTGCCTTTTCTAAACGTTTTCCTCACCTCCCACTCGGGATAGTCGTGCTCCTGCAGGGYGCCCTTGTGGCTTCCCGGCAGGACGACCAGGCAGCCGTTCTGCCTGTTCACTCGCTCCATGGCCGTCCAGGCGCACACGATGCGGTCCGACGGCCGGAAGGGGAAGTAATGCAGGTCCTGATGCATCGGGTGTCGAGACGTCTTCTTACCTGGGACAGCAGGAGGCGAAACAATCACTTCAGATACACTTATATATGTCAGTGCCGTAAAATAAATACAAATATATTATATTACAAATATAATCTCTTCATTCCTTCCATGAAATCTGCTTCAGCTAACTGGTTGTTTTTGTCTTGTGCTACTTTTAGCTAGCATTTTCCTGCTGTTAGCAACCTGTCTGATACTTRGCCTTTCATGACTGTTAGCCTCTGTTCTGCTACTTTTATCTAGACCTTTGCTAATTATAGCTACTTTTTCTGCTATTTTATACCCTTTACCTAGCATTTTGCTATTTTTGCCTTTTGGTTGTAGCTAGCCTTTTGCTACATTTAGTTATCATTTTTCAACTTAAAGCACTAGCTAACATTTAGCTAGTGCTTTCCTCCTTCTGCTACCTTTAATTAGCTTTTTGGTATYTAGCTACTGTTCCGCTACTTTTAGCTTTTAGCTAGCAGTTTTTTTTAGAATATAGATATCCATCTACTACTTTTGATTTTAGCTAACATTTGGTTATTTTTTGTTTATAYGTCCTTTTGCTACTTTTGGTTTGCATTCTGCTAATTTTAACTTGCTGTTTGCCTTTTAGTTGCCATTCTGCTACTTTTAGCTTTCAGCTAACCTTTTGTTATTTTTAGCTTATCTGTCAACTACGTTTGGTTTTARCCGGCTTTTTATGACATTTAGCCTTTGCTACTTTTAGCTTGCATTTTGTTACCTTCAACTAGTCTGGTGTCTTGCATGTTTTAGCTAGCGTTTTCTCCGTTTAGCTAATGTTCCTGCTTTAGGCTTTCATCTTATTCTTAACTGCATTTCGTTCTTCATTGCATCTCTGATGTTATGTATGAATGACAATAAAGCAAATTTAATCTATCTAATCTAATTTAAATATTTTGGTTCTTTTAGCTTGTGTTTTGTCCGTTTTCGCTTTCAGCCAGCTAATGTTGTGCTTTCTTTAGCTTTTAGCCAAGGTTTTACTCACATTAGCTTTTARCTAGTGTACATTAAGTAATTAGCAGATGCTAAACTTCAACACGAGCATGTTTCTGGTCTCACCTGCATCAGGAGGTTTGTTGATCAGCATGGTGTGCATGGCCATGATGTTGGGTCCAGTGAAACACTCCACATACTTCAGGATCTGAACTCACAAGGACCAGTTTCTGTTCTTTAGACTCAGATTTTATTAATAAGAAGGTGAAACATTTACGTGACGCTCTGTGAGGTCAGTGACCTCTGTGAGCAGCCGAACTCTACAGTTTAATTAAACATTTCAGCTGAAACTACAGAAATGTTAATGCTGAGCACTGAATGACTCTGTTCAAATCTACAGAAGAAGCTAAAACTGAAATGCTAAAGCTAAATGAAGCAGAACAATGCCTAAAAGCTAAAAGTAGCAAATTGCCAATTAAAAGACAAAATCAACCAAAACACTAGCTAAAAGTAAAAAACTGTTAGACAAAAGCTAAGAGTAGAAAATCCATGCTAAAATTAATAAATTGTTAGCTAAAAGCTAATAGTAAAAATGGCAACTCAAGGCCAAAACCAGCAAAACACTAGCTAAATATAGCAAAAGGTAATAAGCTAGATATAGCAAATGTCTAGCTAAAAGTAGCAACAGGCTACCTGAAAGTTCAAAGTAGCAAAAATAAGCTTAAAGTTTGAAAATGCAAACTAGAAGCAGAAAATGTTAGCTTAAAAGCTAAACATAGCAAAAAGGTTAGATTAAAGCTAAGTGTGGAAAATCCTTGCTAAAATTAATAAATGTTAGCTAAAAGCTAATAGTAAAAAAGATTAAAGAACACTAATAAAATGCTAGTTTAAAACGAAAGTAGCAAAAGGCACACTAGCTAAATGCATTGAAAGGTTTGGTAAAAGATTAAAGTAGCAAAAGTCTACTTGAAAGTAGCAACAAGCTAGCTGAAAGCTCAAAGTAGCAAAAGATAAGCTAAAAGTTTGAAAATGTTAATTAAAAGCAGAACTTGTTACCTAAAAGTAACAAGAGGTTAGATAAAGGCTAAAAGTGGAAAATCAGAGCTAAAATTAATAAATAGTTAGCTAAAGATAAAAATGATAAACTAATAAAATGCTAGCTAAAAACTAAAGTAGCAAAAGGCACACTGGCTAATAGTAGCAAAAGATTTGGTAAAAGATAAATGTAGCAAAATTCAAAGTCAAAGTAGCAAAATGTTAGCTGACAGCTAAAAGTAAAACTAAAGTAGCAAAAGGCTAGCTAAATGGTTAGCTAAAGTCTAATAGTAAAAAAGTTCATTAAAACTAAATCAACAGATTTTAGACAAAGCACACAGGATCTTTTAACATATTTAAAACATGTACCTGTGGTAGTGAACAATACCGAAACAGCTCAGGATTTTCCTGAAAGTCCTGCAGTTTGGAAACGGCTTTCTGATCCGGAACGAACTCGGACTTTGCAATGGCCACGTCCCGCATCACGACCAGTCCGGGAACCTTCACTTCCTGTCGACAAATCCGCTCGAACTCCTTCCTGTAGAGAGCAGAGGCACGAGTTGGTTCATCTCTCCGACWCCGGCCATCTTTACCTGCAGCTGTTCGCAGCTCTACCTGAACCTTTGGATGTCCTCATCGGACACCAGATTCCTGACCAACAGGAAGCCGTTTTCCTCGTAGAAGAGTCGCTGCTCCGGGGTCAGCACGCCCGCGTCGAAACTGTATCTGTCCCAAACAGCAATATCATAAAGTTTAATATGTGTACGAGTTGTGTACAAGCCCCCCCATAAAACACAGTTTGTAGCAACAACAACAAGTTAAGCAAAGTGTGCATCAGATATGATCTGATTTACAACCACATAAGAAAACTCCCCGGCTGTGTTCTCCACTGAAAACAGATTTTTCAAATAAAGGGTGGTCTGTGTCGTCGTACCTCAGTCTCTGCGGGGGGCTGAAGGTGAAGGCCTGAGCAGAAGCTGCTTCACTGATCTGACCACAAGTTAAAGACAGACCAGATAAGAAGAAAAAGCACCGTGTGGAGAATAAAATATAGATGTTTGTATCAAAATAAGCTGTGTGGTATTTATATATACACACACACACACACAAAAAAAAAAACTACATACAATCAAGAAAAAAGTTCAAATACTTCAGCTTTTCATGCCTTTAATCCTCAGCCATCCTGATGTTTTGTCATTTTAATCAAACCCAAGTCTGGACTTTGACCTGGTTGCATTTATTTTGTAGATTAACAGCTGTGTTTGGGATCATTGTCCTGTTACATCACAACCCAGTTTGATCTAACTGTTAACTTGATGTAAAATCTTAAAGTTCATTTAAGGCAACAATAATCCACTTCTTTGTTTCTCCTAACAGAAAGCTACAAACAGCAACCAAAACATTAATTTAAACAACTTGAAACATTTAAACAATCCCTTAACTTGATATGATTAGTTAATAGTTTGTTTTAATAAAACCAGAAGTACTTACATCATAGTTTTTATTATTTATAAGTCGTTTCAACATTAAAATAAGATCGTAATGATAAAAATAGTTGCAGGAACAATTGAAGATAAAAGCAATAAAACTGTTAGCTGTAAAGTTAGCTAATATGCTAACTAGCTAGTTTATGTAACAAAAACTGTCCGCAGAAATATAAGTTTCACAACTTAGAGTTATATAATTAAAGTTTATAAGGAYGTTCGGTTAGCGAACTACCGGAAAAGGCGCAGCCAGGTTCGGTGCTCCTGTTTCGGGAGTCCCCGGAACAGACCACCCGCTGCTGCCCGCTGCCCGGCGCTCCTCCGTCGGCTGGAGGGTCCGCGGGAACCGCGTCAGGAGCGGAGCTCAGTTCAGAAATAAAAGGATACGATGGAAGCCGAGGATCGATCGAGATGATTGATCATCGATCGGAGTCTCTCCGCAGCGCGAGACATTCTGCTGTCCGGTCAAGTTGAACACAGACAGACAGAGGGCAGAGTTCGGTTTTAATGTGTGGACCAGCGCCGCTGCAGGCTATGGAAGGATATTAGTGCCGCTGCAGACTATGGAAGGATATTAGTGCCGCTGCAGACTATGGAAGGATATTAGTGCCGCTGCAGGCTATGGAAAGATATTAGTGCCGCTGCAGGCTATGGAAGGATATTAGTGCCACTGCAGTATATGGAAGGATATTAGTGCCACTGCAGTATATGGAAGGATATTAGTGCCGCTGCAGTATATGGAAGGATATTAGTGCCAATATTATAAAAAAATAAAGTACTCTGTGTTTCAAATTTATCTTTAAGTTTAATGTTATTATTCTAAATATAAAAGCCAAATATGAGTTTGAAAGTTACATTAGTTTATGTTATAAGTGAATATTTTACATTTTAAAGTAAGCATGAGTTTGAAAGTCAATATTATTTTAAACTTTATTCGTTTCATTTAAAAAAAAAACACAATTACTACTGTCGTGGTATGAAGGCAGAAACACGTTGGAATAATGCCAGAAAAGTCTGCGTGTGTGGTCGTAATAAATGATTTAATTCTGAGCAACGAACAAACAGGACCCAATCAGGAAGTTCTGTTGGCTCGTCGCTCAGAATTAAATCGTTTATTACGAACATACACGCAGACTTTTCTGGCATTATTCCGACGTGTTTCTGCCTTCATACCACGACAGAAATTAGCGTTGTCGGCAGAGACCACTAGGAGAGCGACGGACCAAGGCCACATTGCAGGTGGACTGATATGAGTGAGCAAGGACTGGAC